AAATCTTTGAATTTAATTATGTAACACCTCGAAATATTGGTCCTGCATATAGGAGTGTATGTATGGGTCTTCCTATCTCGTCGAGCTTAGTCGATCTAGTTCTGTATGTCCGTCCGTCTATCTACGTTAATTTGTAATCACGCTACTGGTCGCAATTATGGTCCAATCCTCACGAAATTGGTAGGGGGAAAATATCTAGGGGTTGAATTATAGATCAATAGACACGGAATTATGCATGGAGTTAGAGTTTAGGACTGGGGAGAAACCTACCAACTAGGATGTTCATCGGAAAATATTAAGCGGTTAAAAAAGCCATAATTTTTATTTAAAAAATACTACAATTTTCACTAAACGTCTAATATTTGTAATGACGACGAAACCACAAATACATTATGATACTGATATCCAAGATATCGAATATACAACAAAATAGGCAATATTTTTATGTTAAAGAAACTGATGTTAGTTATTCCGCTTCTAAATCAAAAAACGCTGGACTGATTTTGACAATTCTAACCAATCTGGAATGGCTTCTTGCCAGAAAAATATAAAACCTAAGGAAATCGCGTAAAAGTATGGCAATAAAAAGGGACTATTTTTTGTTACTTTTTTATGTTTTTTTATATTTTTTTATCTCATGTGATTTTAAAAATTTTGAATTGTGCATTTTGTATTTTTATACCCTCCACCATAGTAACACCTCGAAATATAAATTTGTGTGAGGTCTAACACGGTATATATATTCTTGATCAGCATAAAATTCTATGGCGATTTAGCGATGTCCGTCTAACTGCGGAAATTACTCTAGCTTTTAAAAATTTTGAATTGTGCATTTTGTATTTTTATACTCTCCACCATAGTAACACCTCGAAATATAAATTTGTGTGAGGTCTAACACGGTATATATATTCTTGATCAGCATAAAATTCTATGGCGATTTAGCGATGTCCGTCTAACTGCGGAAATTACTCTAGCTTCCGAACGAAATGAAGTAGGATGATAAAATTTTACTCAAATGTGTTTTATGTCTGCAGGACTAGGTATCGAAAACAGGTTATGCAGGTCCACGTTTTGGTATAGCCCCGTAAAATGGTACCTACCTCTTTTCGGTATTTCGACATAATTCACCGGAATTGTTTGAAATTTGGTATTTGAAGTTCGTAATAAATATTACAGTCTAAGACAGAAAATTGTCTGTGCAGGTCCACGTCTTCGTTTAGCCCCCATATAACGGTACCTTCCGATATTCGGTATTTTGATGATTTTAGCGACGTTATTAACCGGAATTGTTTCAAATTTGGTATTTGAAGTTCGTAATGGATACTACAGCTTATAACAGAAAATTGTCTGTTAAGGTCCACGTCTTCGTATATAGCCCCAATTTAACGGTACCTCCCTATATTCGGTATTTTGATGATTTTAGCTACATTATTCACCGATTTTTTTCAAGTTTCTATACGTCGTCGTATAGACACTAACTTAAAGGCTACATTCGGTATTTTTAAGATATTAGCAAAATTTTAAACGGATTTTATTTTTTTTAAAGTTTACCAAATGCGTTCCAAATGGTGGGTGGGGATTCAAAGATCGGCCAGGTCGAACTTAGAGCTTTTTTAATCGTTTTTGAGGGTATTATATTCACGTCGAAATTTGAGAGAAACAAATGAGAAATATATATTTTTTCACAAATTTACTCTATTTCCTAATTTTTTCATCCAGCTGTATTCAATTTTATACCCCGAAAAGTGCTGAGCTCTCAGGTTAATTTTTGAGGCATTTATATGCTACATGCGCAGTACTATTTTAAGCGTAAACCCAGTTGTTTTAATTTAATTTTTAAGTTTTAGTCAAATTTCCAATTCAGATGTTGGTATTTTGAGTTCATATCCTGCTGGAGAGAATCCTATTTGGAAAAAATGTTTTGATATAGCGGTTATATAAAGAGGAAATATCGAGGTTTTTGGACACATTTCAAATCGATTTGGCTGAGATATTGTAGGAAATTATCAAAAAAGCAGTAAGTTTGGCCGAGCCGAACTCTGAGTACCCTCCATACTTTCCAAAAAATTGGTTAAAATCATAAAGACGTGAATCTGCGTAGTCAAGTTTTTTCTTAGACCATTACAATATCCAATTACCAGACTTGAAAAAATTCGGGTCAATAATATCGCTAAAATCATCAGAATACGGAATAAAGGCAGGTATCATTACATGAGGCCTATGTGAGAACGTAGACCTGCATAGACAATTTAAAGTCACAGAATGCAGTACCCTTTGCGAACTTAAAATACGAAATTTTAAACACATTCCGCTGAATAATGTCCCTAAAATCATCAAAATAGCTAATATAGGGAGGCACTGTGGCGGATATACCAAAATGTGGATCTATATAAGCCATTTCCAATCACAAAAGTCCTGCAGAACCAACACACATCTGAGTAAAATTTTATCAGATCATTTTGGGGTGTCGAAAATGTTTATTACGAGGTGGATATTACGGATTTTCAAGAACTCGAGTTCCATTTTTACAGCTTTGTAAGTGAAATAGTAGAAGTTTTATATTGAAGTTATCGCTGACCATAAAACTTATTTACTCAAAGAGTGTCACACCTCAACAAAATAAGTTTCGAAATAAATGCATGCATAAAATTGGACCTCCGAATTTAATAGATTATTGCACAAAAAGTTTTATAATTAAACTAGCTGAACCCGTTGCGCTTCGCTACCCCTTTTGATTTTATATGCACTCAAAATTTTATTTACGTTAAAAAAAAAAATTAAGAGTAAAAAAAAAATTATTGCACTACTTTAATGCGTAAATAACCAAAACCATTAGAAAAGCAGTAACATGACATACATACACGAAGGGTTTGTCCTTCGGATTTATTTATTTCATAGCAAATACCATGCGTGCAGTAAACTGCAGTCTTTTGAAGTTGAGTGGCATTTCTTTTGCAATTAGTGAATTCGAGATAGCAACATACTTCGCCGTAATAAGCGTATTTCAAATCAATTGTTGCGTTGTTTTTTAATGTTAGCCTAAGGCGTTGTGGGTCAATGGTTCTTATTAAAATCATACCCCAATCTGATTTGATTTAAATATAATTTTAAAAAAATTACTTTTACACCAAATTCCGCCATACCTTTCATATTTCATATATCCAAATCTTAACTAATTTCCAATTAATTTGTTACATTTATTATTTTAACCAAATTCCGCCACACATTCTGAATTTCATTGGTATCGGTCATATATATCATGTTTGGTGCATGTTGAGAGGCCAAAAGGAAAAACAAGCGGTTGGTTTGACGGTTGCTTATGAACTATACTCAGTTTTATTGAATTCACTCAGAGCTGACTAATTACACACTACTAATTTATACATCACATAAACTTCAATTAGTGATAATTTAAATGGCTAAATGGTTATTCGGTTATGTATATTTATTACAACACTCTCCCTGAATAAGCATTTACCATGATATAAAAATACTTCAAAATACAAAATTCATAAAATTTATATTAGCCCAAATTTAATGGAAAATAATTTGTACTTGTCGGCAGCCACAGCTTTGGTGAATAGGTCGGCTACCATGTTTTCGGTTTCCAAATATTCTAGACTAATACGACCAGATTCTAGATTCTCACGAATAAATTTAATTCTGATATCTACATGTTTTGTTCTGGATGAGTATGAGCTATTGCGTGCTATTTGAATTGCGCTCTTATTATCGCAGTATAATGTAATAGTATTGGACACATTCAATAGTTCTCGTTCCAATCTTTGAAGCCAAACCGTTTCTTGCATTGCAGCAACAACCGACATAAACTCTGCTTCTGTTGACGATAGGGCTACTGTACGTTGTCTCTTGGTACACCACGATATTGCTCCCCCTTGCATTGTAAACACATAGCCTGTAGTCGACCTCCTATCATTTACGTTACCTGCCCAATCTGCATCACAAAAGCCAACTAAGTCGCCATCTGACTTGGTATAAACCAAACCTTTCTCAAAAGTACCCTTCAAGTACCGCATCACTCTTTTAACTGCTTTCCAGTGGGCTTTTCCAGGATTGGCATTAAATGTGCTTAGCAAGTTGACAACATAGCAAATATCCGGTCTTGTGTTTTGGGCAGCAAACAGCAATGAACCCACGGCTTCCAAATATGGGACTTTTCTCATTTCCTCCTTATCTTCTTCAGTTGATGGACACATTTCTATTGACAACTTTTGATTCATATCCACTGGAGAAGATATCGGTTTGCTATCTGCCATACCAAAACGCTTTAAAACTTGCTGTACATATTGTGATTGATCAATTTTGACACTGTTTTCTGTTCGTTCTATTTTCATCCCAAGTACAGATGTAGCTTGTCCCAAATCTTTCATTCGAAAATGTGTCGATAATTCTTCCTTTAATTTCTTGGTGACATCTACATCAGTTGAAAATATTAATACGTCATCCACGTATATAGCAACGAACAAAACTGATTTGACTGTCGGTAATAATAAACACACTGATCAGTTTCACTTCTTTTCAATCCAAACTTCAACAAAACATTGTTCAGGGTTTTATTCCATACCCTACTAGATTGCTTTAGGCCATAAAGCGCTTTTCTCAGCAAACAAACTCGATCTGTACCATCTTCGTAACCTTCAGGCTGTTTCATGTAGATTTCCTCCTTAAGTTCACCATGGAGAAATGCCGTTACTGCGTCGAGTTGGTGGATGTGCATGTCATACTTCACTGCCAGTGCCAACAAAAATCGAATCGATGAGTATCGCACAACAGGGGCAAATGTCTCTTCATAGTCGATTCCTTCTGTTTGACTACAGCCCTTTATCACTAATCTAGCCTTATATCGAGTGTTTGATCCGGATCCATCTGCCTTTGTTTTAAATACCCATTTAGATTTCAATGGTTTTCTTCCGTTGGGTAAATCTACTAGCTCCCACGTTTTGTTATGTGCAAGAGATATTATCTCCTCATCCATTGCACTACGCCACTTCCTTAACATTGTTTGACTTCATGGCTTCTTCCAATGTAGTGGGATCATTTGCAATGAATGTTGCAGCACAAAAACTATAATTCGCACGTGACTTTGCAGCTAGCCTTCCTGACCGACGTATCTCGGTATCGTTATTATCATTATGGAGTTCTTGTTCAGCATCTTCAAACAACACATTATCATCGGACCACTCGTCGAATTCCACCTTCATGCTGTCGATGGAAACATCGGCATTCTCGACAACTTCCGCTGCACCATCATGTTGTGGTTCTTCTACACACACCTCCTTTTCGTTGTCATCGATGACTTCTACTAGAGTATTTCGAATCTCATTAGTAAAATTTGTCCCAGTTCTACATACCTGATTCTCCACAAATACAACATCACGGCTAATTATTATTTTCTGTGTCTTCGGATTGAATAAACGATACGCCTTACTCTCTTGACTATACCCAACGAAAATACATTCTTCTGACTTGGCTTGAAGTTTCGATCTCTTCTGCTTAGGAATATGGACGAACGCCTTACAGCCGAATACTCTTAGGTGCTCCAAATTCTGTTCTCTGCTAGTCCATATTTCTTCAGGACTCTTCGATTGTTTTCTGCATGGAATTCTGTTTAAAATATATGCTGCGGTAACAGAAGCTTCAGCCCAATATTTGTTTTTAAGTCCAGCATCCAAAAGCATACAACGTACTCGATCCATTATGGTGCGGTTCAATCTTTCCGCCACACCATTTTGTTGCGGAGTGTACGGTGCTGTTTTCTGATGAATTATTCCAGAGTCAGACAAAAACTTTTGAAAAGGCGCATTGACGTACTCAGTTCCATTATCTGATCGAAATATCTTTAACTTCTTGGAACACTGATTCTCAGCCATATTCTTAAAGTCCTTAAAGGCTTCAAAGACATTCCATTTATTTTTAATAGGAATTAAGAATACTTTTCTGGAGTAGTCGTCCACGAATGTAACAATATACCGAGCGCCAGAAAACGACTTTGGTTCAAATGGACCCATCACATCAGAGTGTACAAGTTCTAGTAATTCCGTAGCTCTGTGACCTTCGTCCTTAAACGAAGCTCTTGACTGTTTACCTTGAATACAGACTTCACACTTCTCGCCATTTGCCTTCAAGTTTAATTCATTTGCAGCTTTTATTTTCTTTAATGTGTCATCGCAAATATGCCCAAGTCTTCTGTGCCAAATACTTGCATCGTTGTTCACGGTAAAGGCTGCATTTGTTTTTCTAAAACTTAAACCACACAGCTTGTACAAATTGTTCTGCGAAATTGCCTTTGCCACAACAACACCATCGTCTCCAAGAATTGTGCACATATTTTTTTCAAAAACTACTTTGTTGCCGTTCGCCGTTAATTGTTTTACAGACAACAAATTTGTGCAAAGAGATGGAACAAATTCAACATTCGTTAGAACTGCATTTGTCTTTGTGCCACCACCATTCAACACCACTCTCACATCTCCTGCACATTCAACCTTCATTGTGTTGTTGTTCGCCACCGTTACTTCTCTCCCAGTAGTAGTGCGAATATTCGACAAAAGCGATCTTGAATTTGTCATGTGAGCAGTAGCACCAGAATCGATGTACCAATCTTCTGCATTTATTTCATGTGGTGTAAAAAGAGATGTCAACAGCAGTCTATCATCTGTCTCTTTCTGTTTTTGCGCACAGTTATAATTTTCAAATTTTTTCTTGTTCGGACAATTTCTTATGAAATGACCCTCCTTTTTACAACCATGGCACCTAAACTTTTTACCTTTTATAAATTTCTTCTTTGATATGAATGCGGCGTCCTCCTTCTTTATTCCATCGAATTTAGCATCTTGCAGTAACAAATTCTTCACCATATCCACATTCAATTGTGTCTTAGAATTTTCCACTGCTAGCACCAATGACTTAAATTCTTCTGGAAGTCCGGCCAACATAAGGGATGCTACCAACTCATCATCAATTTTGAGTCCTGCCTGTTGTACCTTCATCGATGCCATTATCATCCGATTAACGTAATCTTCGACGTTATCGCAGTCAGATAATTTCAGCTGCACCAGTTGTTTCAATAGCTCCACTTTTCTCGTTAAGCCCGTGTCTTCATAGGAACTCACCAACGCCTGCCATGCTTCCTTAGCTGACTTCGCCTTAGCAATATGCGCAAAATTACTTGGTTCCACCATCAGGGTTATTTCAGCCAACGCTTTTTCATTATTCTCTTTGTCCTTTTCATTTGCGTCTACCGCCAAACCATTTTCTATAATTTTCCAAGAATTCTTCAATATAAGATACGATTTTGCCTGCCGCTTCCATGTATCAAAGTTTTCACGGCCTCGAAGTTTATCAAATGGAAAAGACAATGCCGATGCCATTTTAATCGCTTCTCACTTATATATCTCGAAATTATTACTTTAAACTTTTTTTTTTTAAATGCCTCTGGGCCCATAACCTGTTGAGAGGCCAAAAGGAAAAACAAGCGGTTGGTTTGACGGTTGCTTATGAACTATACTCAGTTTTATTGAATTCACTCAGAGCTGACTAATTACACACTACTAATTTATACATCACATAAACTTCAATTAGTGATAATTTAAATGGCTAAATGGTTATTCGGTTATGTATATTTATTACAACAGTGCATAACATGTGTGAAATCGGCCGAAATATATATGTTAGCTATACCCAAACCTCAACTGATTTCAATATAATTTGGCAATTTTTTTCTGGTGCTAGATTTTGTATCTCTCGCTTTGGGTGCATCAAATCGGCTGAGTATATATATTTGAGCTATAATCAAATCTGAACCGATTTTAATATAATTTGAGTAATTTATTTTCTAATCAAAATCCCGTTACATATTCCAAATTTCTTTGGAATCGAACATACATATCGTGTATGGTGCATAAAATACATGAAATCGGTCGAAAATATATATGAGAGCTACATCCCAATCTGAAACGATTTTAATATAATTTGGCGAATGTATATTTGTTTTAATTTCCGCAACACATTCCAAATTTCATTACAATTGGAAATACATATCGTGTTTGGTTCACCAAATACATGAAATCGGCCGAAAATGTATGTGGGAGCTATATCCAAATCTTAACCAATTTCAATATAATTTGGGAAAACAATTTTTTAGATAAAATCTATCACACGTTTCAAATTTCATTGAAATTGGGGATACATAGCGTGTTTGGTGCATCAAATATATGGGAGCTATATACAAATCTGAACCGATTTCAATATAATTTGACAAATTTATTTTCGGATCAAATCCCGTCACACATTCCAAATTTCATTGGAATCAAACATTCATATTGTGTTTGAGGCATCAAATGAACGAAATCGGTCGAAAATATATATGGGAGCTATATCCAAATATAATTTTTCAATATAATTTTTCAAACTTATTTTTGTTCCAAATTCCATTACGTATTCCAAATTTGGAGACTGTATCTTCAACCAATCAATAGATATGTGCATATAAAATTTAAATTTTTGGGAGGTACCTCCGATTCTGATGCTATATCTCCAGTTCCAAGTGGAAATTCAAAAATGTATATAGCCTATGTTACTTTCAGGCGATGTTGCAGTATATATGGAAATTTTCAGGAAAATCTATTCAGCGGTTTTCGAGTCCATAAATTACAAACAAACAAACATACAAACATTTTCCTCTTTTATAGATATAGATAAGCAATTATTTGCAAAGGAATGACTAGATATCACTTCTTTATTTTTTTTGCAAGTTCTCGCATTGTTTGAAGTATTAATTTTTTTTTTTCGAGGTATGCCACTATTTGAGTAAATGAGCGATATGTTAAACATCAAATTCCAATGTGATATTGATTCCAGCCAATAGTTAGGGATTTAAATGAACATAAATAAAACTTTGAACATGTTACCCTAATGTCGCAACTCAGGTGTATTTTACAGATGGATGGCACGAACTTTTTTCTGTGTTCGCATGCAATAACATTTGTGTAAAATGACATTTTAACATGTGAATTTTGCAACTTCGAAATAAGTTCTGAAAAATGTGTTCAACTCTAAGGCTCTATCAGTTCCCATCCCGCTCAGTACATATGTGAATATCTGTACAGGAACTGAATGTGAACAACAATAAAAGACAATCAAAAGTTCAATGTGATTTCTGGAATTCAAATGTAATATTTATTTTTTTATGCTTTACTTGAAAAATTCCAAAATGTTGGAAAAACATTGTACAGGGCGAAGATGTATGTATGCCCGAATTACACATATTTACTTTTCAAAGTTGTTTTTCAGTTTTATCAAAAAATGTGTATTTTTATTCTAGCCTGAATTAAGGTGCTTTTTAAAGAACCCATTCTTCAAAAGATCGCAACAATTGAACATAACATTTCCCTTTACTGTCTCTTCTATCGTTGCCATATTTATTATTTATGGTAGCGAATCGAGCAGCATTTGGAATTTATGGTGCGCATTGAATATTTATGTACGTAAGTGGGTACAGATATGCGTGTACCTGACTCATCAAATATAAATCAAACTACATCTTCCTTGTCTGATATAAATCAAATTGCCTAGGCCAAAAACATAACTATTACTTAATATGTAAAACTGGAATTTTATATTGAATATAGAATATTTATTTTCCAAAAAAAAATATAATTCGAAATCTAATTAATTTTGCATGACATAAGTGCTTTTATTGTAAAAGAAATATATTATTTGTAAACAATTAAATGAATCGGTAGGGCAGACTATATGACTGAAGTATCTTTACCTCTACTAGTATATCTTGCACAGCAATCCATTGTATAAATGGGATGAAATACATATGGGAACTTTAGCAGTTCAGATATAGATTAAAAAAAGCATTAGATTTTCATAAATCTTTATTTCAAGTCTATGCGCTTGAATCCATCTTGTTCGTAAATACAATAAATGGAAGATATAACGGATTGTACTATACTGGTGAGATGAGAAAACTGCAACCAAATTCAGACTGCGGTCATTTCTACGCCACTCGTCTGACAGCTGTAAAAATTATTCCATTGACAGCTCTTTATATTGTTTACAAGCGTACAAAAGCATTTTGGTGAGAATTTTGCAGGAAAAAATCTATTCCTGATGGAATTCAAGCGTGATTTTTTATACCCTCCACCAAAAAAAGTATGGAGGGTATATTAAGTTCGTCATTCCATTTGTAACTCATCGAAATAATCATTTTAGACCCAACAAAGTATATATATTCTTTATCAGCTTAAAATTCTAAGACGATTTAGCCCTGTCTGTCCGTCTGTTGTAATCACGCTACAGTCTAAACGAATTAAGATAGGAAGCTAAAATTTTTCGCAGATCTCTCTTTTATCTGCAGGCAGGACAAGTTCGAAGATGGGCTATATCGGTTCACGATATCGTATAGCCCCCATATAACGGTACCCCCGATATTCGGTATTTCGATGATGTTAGCCACATTTTTCAATGGAATTGTCTGAAAATCCACACAAGGAGTTCCTTGTGGGTACTTTATACCTCGGCGGAGAATTGTCCATACAGGTCCACGATATCGTATAGCCCTCATATAACGGTACCCCCGATATTCGGTATTTTGATGATTTGAGCCACATTTTCCAATCGTATTGTCTGAAAATCCACACACGGAGTTCTTTATGAGCACTTTACCCCTGAAACGGAATTATCTATATAGGTCCACAATATCGTATATCCCCCATATAACGATACTCCCCTATATTCGGTATTTTGATGATTTTAGCCACTTTTTCCAATGGAATTCTCTGAAAATCCACACAAGGAGTTCCTTGTGAGTACTTTACACGCAGACATAGATTTGTCTTGATAGGTCCACAATATCGTATATCCCCCCATATATCGGCACCTTCCTAATTTTAATGGATTTTATTTTTTTGAAAATTTTCTAATTCGTTCCAAATGGTGGAGGGTATTCAAAGTTCGGCCCGGCCGAACTTACTGCTTATATTTGGTTAGAAAATCACAAGTGGCTATCGTTTGAGCACTCCAACATTAATATGTGAATAAATCTTTTGTGTCTCGTACCATCGCTCGTTATTCCATCGCTCTCGAATTCTCTATATTTGGACAAATCAAATTAAGTGAACCCAAATTTAGACTTTTGGGACCCTACGGTGTTTCCCTACTTCAACCTGTTTATTTCATATAATAAATGTTTGTATATTGCGAATTGTATCTCCTTTTGCTGGTAAGTCAAATTTTAAAATCCATATAAATTTGCCAATCGACTCTTATGTAAATCTTTTTTTTTCCTGCCGATTTCTGCCAAATCTATAGCATACTGAAGATATGCTACCAAATATTCTAATTTATAGTTTTTTTTAAAGGTAGCTTCAACTTAAACTAGTCGTAATAAAGTTTCACTATGTTTTATCAAGAAATATGAAAATGAAAAAAAAAATCCAAAATTTTTGGGAATGATTTTTCTTAAAAAATCTTCGATTTTTGGTCATAAACTCATAAAAATCCTTAGTTTAACTGCCAGGATATGATATTTTTCCAAGATTTCAGAACAAGAATCTACGAAATAATAAAAAATACTATTTAATAATTCGCCATTTCTATTGAAAAAATATTTTTAGAAATATACAAACTTTTTACCGAATATCATCCTTTCCATCGATAACTTCACAATTTTTGACCAGAAGGTGTTTGAAGGCAAATTCTTAAATGCGCACATATTGTAGCAAATCCGAGATTCATGATATTTCCACAAGTTGGACATCTGTCTCGTATTTTAAAAATAAAACGAAATTAAATGGAAATATTATACAACACTATGTGTTGGGATATTATAAGCTTGTTATAGATCTTCCCATCTCGCCGAGCTGACCTTCCTATCTCGCCGATCTATTTTAAATTGTAATCATGTTAAAGGTCGCAATTATAGCCCGATCCTTATCAAAATTTTGCTTGGAGGTGGTGTTAAGGTTAGAATAGAAGCCTATTGTTTTTGGAGATGATCGCAAAATATTTAAATAATTTATTTCTTGATTTTGCAGTTGCTTTAGATGTCACAATTATAGAATAATAGACATTCGGCATTTTGCATAGGGCTAGATTTTAATGCTGGGCAGAAACTTACCAATTTGGATGGTAACATATATATAGAATGAAATAGACCATAGCTTTTATGTAAAAAAAATTCTATTAAACTGTGAAGGTTTTAAATTCCTCAAATACACGAAAATGCCACTTTTTACCGTAACACTGATGCTAATATCCAAGATATCGTATATATATAAAAAGATATGGGTCTGAATAGAACCCTATTGTTTATGGAGATGATTGAAATATATTAAGAGGTTGAAATGGACCAAAATAGAAA